GATGGGGTGGGGTTGGATGGGGTGGGGTGGGGTGGGATGGGGCACTGGGGAAAGGCCAACCACCAAAATGTTTAAAACTTCAGCAAAGACAATAAATACTAAGAAGACAGTCAACTCAGACAGGAATAACTCCACTGGTTGAGCACCAATCCAGTGTTCAAGAAAGCAAATATTCAAATCTCACTGAAACCATTGTTTTCTAATCTATCGTTTTTCTGCTTATCTTTTTTTTTGTCAAGAAAGTGTATGAGCAAAGTGACAGAACATCCTCCCACACATCCACGCTCACATCCTCATAATTAAATTTATTCCAGAAAAGAAAGTTGGGTTGAACTACAGCCAGATTTCGAACCACAACTTGCAGGCGACAGTTCCTGTGCTGCACTCACTCTATAATTCTCTTAAAGTACTTACTGCAGCAATTCTGGCAGGTGTGGTTGTACTGATCTGTACAACTATCAGGAAGAGAAAGCCATTGATGTTTTGGATGGAGGATTGATTGTAGGGTTGGTTCAAATACAAAAGTCCAAGAAAGATGCCAAGACCCTGCGGGACACAACAGCCTATGATCAGCCTCATATGTGGTTTAATTATCAATCAATCAGAAAGGATCAAGCATCTAAGCAAGATTTCTTAAGTCTCCCAAATTCCTGGTAACATTAACAGAGAACAAAGTAGCCATGTGTTGGGGAAGTCAATAGGAGTCCGACCTATGTCCCACTTTCACACAAGAAGAAATATTAGAAAGAAGTCTTGTGTTGAAGATAAATGAACTCACGATGGATGTTACAAGATATGACTTTAGCAACGATGGCTCACGGAGGACATCTATCGCACATCGCCAGAGGAGAAGACAGACCTGCTGCCAGCAGGTGGCCCTGTATCTTTGTTAAAGATGACAGAGGAAGTGATTTCAAAGAATGAATTTCTACCACAGAAAAATTTAGGGGTAGGGTGGGGGGGGGAGTGCCTGGAAAAGAATTCTGGTTAAGGATACATGTAGACCTACCTTGTTCTTGATGGGAGATCATCATTTGATTCCTGTAGAAAAAAGATCACAAATAAGGGTTAATTTTAATGGTATACCGATGAAAGTAACACACTTGAGTTGGAACACTGAGGCCTGTCCTTTTAATTTCGTCGAGCCATTCAACTGCAGTTTGAAAGCCGAACCAAAAATGTCACATAACATTATGGACAAGCATATCCGCTATCCGCTCCGAGCGGAACAAAAGAGGGCGTGTGTTTTTTGGTACTTACTGCATAGGCGCGCATTTATAATGGAGATCAATGACCCGTTAGACGCTGAGCATGCCAAGTACGCGTAACAAATGTATTCCTTATCGTATGGTCTTTGCGTACACGCAGAACGTGTGCAAGAACCCGCTTGGAAAACTTACAACCATCTGTCTTTCTTTTGTCGCTAGGGGGTGCACTTCAACTTGGGGTGGATAACCCTGTATTTGAAATTTTTCACGAAAACCAAATACAATTATCTTTCTACAGTCCCCATTTAAGACAGCTGTTCTCATCACGGTTAATACAAGTCCCTCTTAACATCCACCTGTCTCCTAATCTCTTACATATACAGTCCTGGCTTGAAAGATCTCCTCCTCAATACTGGCCTGGACGACTCTGGACTCAGTACTACAGGCGAAGGCATTACACAGAACCTGAAGACCAGGAACACATCACACTCAAATGTTACAAAAAACAGCAAAAATATCGGAGGACATTTAGTACATCCCGACTCCTGTATCACATTAATGCATTACTGGTCTGTAAATGCTTTCAGAAAGCAATCAATTTGAAAAGAGTCAGTCTGCAGCTAAGTGTACATGGTTAACCAAGAGTTTATGGTGATCATATTTTAGTTTTGATTTTGATGAATGGCCTCTTACATCGACTCTGCTGTGGCAGTTTTTTTCTTCGCCAGGTCTGATGGAAAGTGTGTCAATGAAGAAATCAGCAGGGCAGTAATCATCAGGTGACTGGTAACCAAGTCTGGCGAAATAAGCCACTGCCTTGTCTACATCGCCTTGATAAGCACATCGTCCGTCAGCAATCAGGATCAAACTGGGTATAAACAGAAATACACTCGTGCATTTCTGGTCAAATATCACAGACATAGTGTGATATGTAATTAATAGCAGTGGAGTGGTTTTCAAAATGGGGGCGAGTAGCGAGACCATCAGGTATTTAATAGATTAATCCATTAAGCCCCACACCATCACAGGACCTACCTGCCAAAAGTGTGTGTGGGGGGGGAAGGACTGGCCCTCTTTTCCCTGCTTCCACTCCAAGAGATGACACAAGATTTGTTTAAGTTCATTCAGATTTCTGCAGTCTGGGCATCTCTTACCGGTCAAACATGGAGTAGATATCTGACGATGGCTGGTGAATGGTGCAGAGAATAGTATGGCCTTCAAGAGCAAGTTGACGTAACATACTGATTAGCGTCTCAGACATGTAGGAATCCAGACCAGATGTAGGCTCGTCACAGAAGAGAAGTGGTGGGTTGGTCAGAAGCTGGGACAAAGAATGAAACAGCATTTGGAAGAGGAAGACAGAAGTAAAAGTGGCCAAACACAGGAACAATTAATGATGACAGGAAAGCCCTTGTACAATTCACAACCTATTAATTAATATCCCTTGTCAAGTATTTTCTCTGATGCTTGCTTGTACAATGCTTGTCACTACTGCTTGGAAATGACAAATGGAAATGATAAACTGACCTCAGATGCAAATGACAGCCGCTTTCTCTCCCCGGCCGATATTCCAGATGTCTTCGGATTACCAATCCTTGAATCTGCACATTTCACTAGTGATAGCTTTAAAAAAATTCAACAGCAAAATTGTCACGTTTGGGATGAATCCTTAGCTGGGTGCCTATGTAGACAGTCATACTATCATTCAAAACTGGAATCTACCCAGAAGTACATCTCTCCAATTCATCCATTCATTTCTAAACTTGCCTCACCTGCTCCAGGATATCCTCCACACGTTCTAACTTTCTTTCCAAACTGATTCCTCTTGACATCCTCAGTCTCGCCTGGAACAAATCCAACATTCCACTTCACCAACTGTTTTAACAGCTCTCGAAGGTGTTTAATTCAGAGATATAAAATACAGCAATAATTCTTTACTGGCCACTCAAACTAAGAAGATACCACCACGAATCCTGAAGGCTCAGATTCATGGAACCAGAACAGCAGTCCAAATGTCTTGTTTTCAGTTCCTGCCTTGGTAGCAAGACAGTGAAAGAGGATACCATTGGATGTGATGCTATATCTTTAATAACAACATAATCACAGATGATATTTCTGGTTTAGATGTGATTTTGGTAATGTGGATGTTAAATTGGATAATCACAATCAAGCGAGTCATCTTTCGATTTTGGTAGAAGAATCCAGGCCATTTACAGTGAAGTTCTAAGATCTTTTCAACACAAACAAAAATTACACACCTGAAGAATGAGATGCTCTCTGACGGTGAGGGATCCAACAAACACATCCTCCTGTTGGATATACGTTGATACCTCATCCATGTATGGTAGTATTTTAATTGAATCACTCACTGATACTTGACCTCTGACCTCTAAGCTTCCAAGACTGTGCTCAGTCAAAACATTCATCAGGGTTGATTTGCCAGCGCCACTGCAGAAATATATGAATGAACTCAGAAATGATAGAGCAAGTGTTCAAACAATTTCCCACACAGTAAGATAATGATATTAAAAATTAACATAAATTTGTAACATTTTAAACTTACTGAGAAATAAATTATATTTGGATTGAAGACAAATTTCTCACCTTGCTCCCATAATAGCAATCAGATTCCCTGGTCTTGCTAAACCACTCACTGGAAACAAGAACTCAGAGGTTAAGTTAAAGAATAGTGACGATAAAAGGTACCATATGCAATTATGCACGTATGTGACACAATGTACCAAAAGAGAGACGCTATCTTAGAGAAGTTTGAGACAATCCAAGACCCACCTCCTCTTAGTATCACTTTGGGTCGCTCCTCCAGCCTCCCACAAATCTTCTCACAAATCTTCCCTCTCCTCTTCACCTTTGTCTGCACCCACACATCATTCCACAATAGTGTTATCCTCCTATCCATTGCCACAAAGGAACTACGTCTCTGCCTCCTGGGTACGACAGGTTCCTCAATGCCCGTCTCTGGGCAAGGCCCAGGTCCAGCAGGATCCATGGACTGCATCTCCTCTTCCATATAAAAAACATCTTCCAGTTTGTAGCTCTCTCCTTCGAGGGGTGATGAGGCAAGTATTGGTCTGCTGTCATCAGGTTTGTTCTTTAGCGACCTATGGATTCAACACGTCAACTGATAAATCAGAATGATTAAACATGCATGTTTTATTCCAAACTGCACAATAGAAAACCATCCTAGAGAACTGCTCCGATATCATATTATTCATAAAATACCTTCCTACTGGAACAAATGCTGCAAGGATTTTCCTATGACTTTAAATTCAAGATAAACGACTTGCATCCACAACAAATCAATCGGTACTCACCATCCCTTGAATGAATTCCACAAACTGCTCATCTTTGGAGTAGACATTTCCAGGATTGATCAACTAATGCAGGTCCAACAAGTGATTTTCAACAGACAATTTGAAATGAATATGCGTCATAGGTGTCCATCAAACTTCAATAAAATTCATCAAATGTTTTATCATATTTTACCGTCACTGCTGAAGATTACGCTGGTGGGGTACGTAGACGCAAGAAGATAACCACACTTGAGGGTGATACCGAACCTCATCAAAACAATCCTATCTTCCTGTAATCTTTTCTACCAGCAACAATATTGTTGCTGGTGTGTATAAAAAGGACCAAACTTACGTGTGAATCCAAAGAGAAGTTAGATTTCAATGACATAATAACTTGGGATGAGAAAATACTACTTGAGAATTTTATAGCACTGCATGGACTTTTAAGTGGGCCATACAACTGATTGGTTTTCCCCATCAATTAAACTTTTTGTCATTTTAGTCTCGGGAGAGACGAAAGTGATAACCAGCACTGGAACCTTCAATTTTACAAAAAAAACATTCACGAAAGAAATCAAAAGTCTTCTTTTCAACAAGTCTCTCACTTGTTTATTGCTGAAAACAATATCCAAATAAATAACCACATTCTATACACTTAAGAAATATGATTTACGAGTAAAGAAAGTTTTAACCACTTTCTTCCAGGGAACATAATTAATGCACAAAAACAACAAACAACCTATCATTGTCAAACTTTTCTCAAAAGAAAAGAGTAAAGAGCCTAACACACACAAGGCAATGACACACATATTTGCACCGGAAATTTCAATGCTTTGGAATTGTAAAGCTGCCAGTAACACAGGCGATTCACAATACAGCACGCCACCAAGAGTTTGCTGCAGACAGGCCACTTTTCAAGAGTTTGCTGCAGACGGGCCACTTTTCAAGGTTACGGTCAACACACTGCCGCGATTAAGCGCACTTCATACATAGGCATTTCCTGCACCACACAAACCATCATTTTGAACAACCTAACACCAATTCTCAATGAGCAATATTGAATTTTCAACCAAAATAAACAAACTTTCTGAAATAGTTAAAGTTTTTCATGCACAGCAGAGTAAGTGAATGAGACTTTGTCGACTAGCCCATAAAGAACTGCAAAAAGGCCTCTCCGTGATAACCTCTTGGTGGCGCACTGCATTGTGAATTGCCTGTATTGTTTTTTAAAGAATCCCCTTTATTAATATTTGCGCACTATTCACGGCTTACTTTCTAATACAGTTTCACAATTTCTGAGTAAATGTTGGTTACACAATGTCTACTTCCTACAGAGGACGATTATATATACATATATATATATTTTTGACGGAGGTTGACCTTCACACGACACGATATCACTGCCATTGTAACATCGATGTGATTTCATAGCATAGGACCTCTGTTATCAGCGCTCGTGTGAAAAGGTCTTATGCATATATTTGTATGCTTAGCAAATGTCCTTTCTCTGCTGTGCCATAAAATTGGCCCCTGGTTTTCAACAAGAGATAGAGTCGAGATCAGGGGGGAGGACTATGCAATTTTTGAACATGTAACAAGGTGCATACCTTCCATTTTGCCCAAATAAACTAAACAAAACAAGCACTGGACGGTGTGGCTTCTTTGCAGATGACTGGGAGACCTAGGCCTTGATAGCCTACATTTGCTTTGCATTGTGTGAAGCATAAGTATTAATTCATTAAGCTGATGATTCGGAGGGAGTTTCAGCTATTTCCAACTCGGTCTTGTTCTGCTCCAGGATAGGCACGATGAGGTTGTCCTTTGACATCAGGTTATACTTGGTGACAAACGTGGTGAAGCGTCGGCAGAGGTAAGTCTCATTCTGTAAAATGATTCACAAAATTTCTCTGTGCCAACTTCTTGTAATGTACAAAGAATCGGTGCCCAGTGAAAGAACATGTCATTGGTTAAGTGCATATATTTAGGGAGAGATCAGAAAGTCTCTACTGGACAAAAATGTGTAGAGGTCTTATGGTTAGTGCTACCAACTCGGAATTCAATGCCTCTGCCAACATTTTCATGATAACTTGGGAAGCTATGTGTCTGGACAAGACACCTGAAACATCATAGACCAAGAATCCTCCTTCAGACACGTCCCCAAAAGGGATTTCTCTAACTTTACTTCACGATTCTAGGGATCGTGAACTGGTGACTTCAACTGTGAACTATTAATGGCTTACTTCATACTCATCAAACAGCACTCTGTGATGAAAGTAGGCATGTGAGAATATCCGATATATCCTACGGCAGACAGAACCCAGCTTGGCTACCGATGACTCCTTGATGCTGACCCTGACCAAATCAGTCAAATGTAGAAAGTAAACAGGGATTAACCTCTCATTCTTAACAATTCCCAAGAAATTCTGTTGAATTTCAAAATAGTTTTCAATACTTAAAATTTCTTTGGCTTTGGATAGAGGGGCAGGAGGAAGAAATATGCTGCCACCAAGAACACAAAATCCACATTCATAATCACCGTTCATTTGAAGGAAACCTCAGTCACACTGCAAATGTGTCTTTTACTTTTCAAAGATCTGCTTTATAATGTAGTACAGACAATAGGGCATCCTCATTCAACTCGTCTTTGACAGGATTACTGTTTATCCATTCAATTGGATCTTTTCTAGTGAAGAAACATTTTCAGGATGACTTATTGCAAACAGCTTTTATACTTTTAAACACCATGAATTAATGACAGTGAAAGAGCATTACCTGCTAGGGAAATACTTGTTGCTATTGAGTAAGCAGGCTGCTCCATCCAATGTATGCCTCGTATAGTCAATGGCAGGGCACTAGAGGTACAAAGAGTTCCAATATGTCATCAAGCAAAAGTCAATCCCTTCAAATCAATCAATCAGTCAATCCTGGCTAATCCACAAAGTAGTTTCACAGGAATTAAGCTGATTTCAGAAGGTAGAACCACCATTATACCTTGCACTGGACTTGATACTCTTTGAAAGCTTACAAACATTGTGGTCTAGCAGGTCACTAGAAATGTGACAAGGGTGTCAAGGTTGAATATGCACTCATGAATGAAATAATAACATTCAGACCTAACCAGCTGAGTACTACAGAACCCACTGCAAGATTTTCCCACATCAATCAATTCAGGATTTAGCTCACAAAATGCCAACAGGCCAAGAGCTTCTACAAAAACCAACCTCTTTGGGAGTCTTGTGTGCAGCACATAGGAAGATCCACTGCTCAGTTGCTGTCATTTGGGTACAGGTGTCGGGATTACACTCAGTCTGTCAGTCGATAAAAGACATAGAAGCAAACCTCATCAGTCTGGAGTATAACCATATTTGGACAGCCTATTACATTAAAATCTCACGTAATCTGACCAATCACAAGGCTTGTTCTAGCAGCCTGCAACAGATTGCATGGGTGTTTCCATGTTACAGAGTGGTTTTCTTACATGTTGCAGCATATGGAGTAAAAATAAATTTCAATTACAAAAATTTGACTGGCTGTGCAAAAAAAAGCTGACTACAAACATAAACTAGAAGTTCTAAAACAAGTTTGTACCAATGGAATTTAAAATTAGTCATTGCCAACTTGAGATATTTGAAATTGTATTTTGACAAAGATTGCTCTATCAGTATAAGAAGGGTCACTATGCCCATATATGGTAATACTCTAGACTGCTCCGTTGAGGACGAAGTCATTATACCAAAACTTGCCTGAACACTTATTTTGGAAGGCTGAAGGTCTCATACGTAAGGTGACAAATCCTGCATTTCACCTTAGCAATGATTTACCTGAAGTTGACCGCCCAAAAAACAAATCTTACATGCACCTTGGTTGGCAGCAATTTAAGTGAAGTTTGACTTTCCATCAAACAAATCCTGCATTTCACCTTAGCTAGCAGCAGTTTACCTGAAGTTTGACTGCAAGTCCATTAAGCTCTAGACAGAATTGTCGTAGATGCTCGTACTTCCAAACTCCTTCATCTTGACCTTCTGGAGCCTCCAAGATGAAATCAATGTTCTTGATTGCATTCCGAATGTTTTGTTGAATGTACTGTAGAGGAAACAAAGGACAAACTGCAATTTGACTCCACGATCACTCGTATCTTTGGAAAAATCTGGAAAATAACTACTCTCTTTTTCAAACCACAAACAATTTGTACATTATTTTTATTTAATAATTATTTACAATATAAATATCATGAACTCTACCTGTTGGACTGCTAAAGTGCTGTCCATCTCCTCAAATGACTGGTCAACCCAGTTGTGAAAATCCTGGTTTGAGATGGAAGCAAAATTGTTGAATCAGTCACGAAGTGTGGGTTATGCTGATTTTTTAATGTATTGCTACTTGATCTGTGAACAGTTCACATGTGTTGGGCCCAATTTGCTGACCTGCACAACTGGTTCATGACAATGCACAATCAGTCATTCCTCCTTGTTTCTTCTTTTCAGCACATGAATTCAAAATGGTTAATTAGACATGTTGGTAAGAAAAGATGAGCAGGTGAAGGCAGAAATGTCAATAGACTCTACAAAAAGGATTGATCACAACAGTACCTATCACTGATATCGACCATGAGATGACGACTGGTAATAACTACTACTGGCCTAGGCCTACTACTAGTACTTAGTACTAGGGGCCTTACTACGCCTAGATCTGCCACGATAATTTTGCAGATCAACTGATTTTGCCAAGCACAAGTTCGCAATTTATCCTGAAGCCACAACTTGGGAGTTACAGTCTAAAAACATATTTTGCCTTCCACTGCACGCACCAACAGAATTGCAAAATGCACCCTTCTATCAATGCCACGCCCCCTCCCCGCATCTGCAGTACTAATGAGAAAGGGCAGATGGGTATAATGGGTGCGTGCTGTTTTGACGTGCAACAATAGAGTAACATGTTTGGTAAATCTACACGAATGTTTCACATAAAAATATCAGCAACAAAAAAACAAAACATCAATGGGTCGTAATCCACTGTAAGAATCGATCAACCTACCTCAGATTTTGTGCCCGGCCGGATCCTCCGGAGCACCAAATTGTCCGCGATGTCTGCTATGTCGGCCATCTTTTTACGCTCAGATTTCGCATAGTCTGGTTCCCAACACGTCACAGGTATATGAATGAGTCGATCGCAAGACTAAATCTGACACGAATAGCGCCCTCCATTGGCGACCTTTTATATGACGTGTCGTGCTGAGGAAAGGGAGAAAACATGGCCGATCCGAATCAGAATCCTCCGCCCTTACTACTTTTTCCTGCCAGTGATAGTTTGGCACCGGACGCGCTAAGACCGGTTCCAGCGACAGCATCTCTTTTTCCAACAGGTGGGTAACTTTTGCTCGTTTGTATTGGGATTTAATATTGAAAATCATCAAAATACGGTAGGCCTATGCGTTTTATCACCTTTCGTCTATCTTGGGTGATGGCATAGGCCAAGCGCCTAGCATGGCTAGAGATATCTGAAAGCCTGGAGGCCAGTATAGTAGTCATTGCATCGGATTTCTTGGGCAAGGGCGGAACTTAGGAGTTTATGAATCATTCTACTAGGTTTCTCCTGTTGGGGGGGTATCATAATGCTTGCTGGCACTTTTGAAATTTGTAAGTTGTAGGAGAACCCACGCCCCAAACTACCACCTAAGTTTGTGTGATATTTCCTGGCGGAGGCTGCCTTTACCGACCATGCCGACTATGCTGATCATGATTCAGCTTCAGAACCCCATGCCCCAGCATGCCCAGCCCCGACCAAGTCATGCTACATAACATCATTACGCCATCTGCATTGCCAAATAAAATATTGAAAGTTGAAAAATGTTTTGGGGTGGTTTAATTCGAAAACCAAGTTTTTTCACATTCCATCCATGTGCGCATGCTGAGAAGATTTAACAGAGGGGAGCAAATAAATTAATGACAACAACGTTGCTTGCATAACATTTGGCGAGCATTTGCTCGCAATTGGTATTGTTGTAGATGTGGCAGAGCCAGAAACAAGTGTTTTTTAGTACACTTTTTTACATAAAGTGTTTAGCTTTTGTTTAGAGTTCTTGATTTTTTTAGTAGTGTGTCCCCCTGTTTATTTGTTTAAGCCCCAGCTTCCCCTAGTCTGGCCACACTTCGTGTAGCAGATCAGCAGAGGCCAGTCACCTTCACATGTACCTATGTATTGTTCCTCCTAACTGGAGTGTGGTTTTTCTGCTTGAGCCCTATTCTGCTAGAAGTCAGTGATTGAAGTCTGAGTGTATACTCATACGGTCCATTTCACACACTGTGTTGGGTTTTAGTCCTTTAAAGTTTTAGTCTTTTGGTGTGAAGTCTTTTGGCCCCTTTGGTTTTTTCATTGTTTGGGTACTTTTTAGTAAATTCTTTTTGTCCTTTTTTTAAGTCAAATATTGGTGTCTGAGTCTATTTACGCAGTTTCCTGTGACCTTTCCTTCAAAAGTCCTTGTTTAGTCAGAGATTTTGGGTTTTTTTGTTGTTGTTTTGTGAGTTCCCCCTTAGTGTGCCATTTTTCCCAGTTACATAGACAATTTGTTCCCCTCTAGCTTTGTTCACTTACTCCGGGGGGGGGGGCGCTAAAATCAACATGGTGACGGAATGGGAAATTGGCTTATCAGATTATCAGATAATCCATAAACTGAAGGTGAAATTTTCCAGGTGAGCCACATAACAGTTGGGATGAGTTCCATACACAGGTATCACAAATTTTGGCAATGTTTAGAAAGAATTCCACATAGGCTTACAGATGCCACAAATTTGTCCTGCATGGGTCGACCTATGGACATCTGAAAGCAATGAAATTTTCCTAAAAAATCAAACTCAGCAGTGAAAATAGTGAAGTTGCCTGTTTACTTAGAAAAGACTTCAGGTTTTTCACACCAGATTCATAGGGTTTGTACACTGGGTTTCAGTGGCATCTGTGTATGGAACTCTTTCCCAAATTTTTTGCTATGGTGGTATGTCAGCCGTCAGACAGTAGTAGCCTTGTAAAGAGTCAAATTTGTAGGGAAACTATCAAAGTATTTACTCAAAATTTTTCAGACCAATTTCGAAGGGTTTTTGCATGGGTTGTTTAGTAATATTAAGGCATGGAACTCTTCCTCAGAAAGTTATTTTTGTTCCTACAGAAGAAGGTGAAGCAGACAATTTCCTTGGCCAGACAGCTGAGCTTCCTGGAAGCCAGACAACCCAACCACAAGTACCCTTCTTCACAACTACAACATCTTCAAGTGTCTCAGACCCTTTTGCCAACATCAGCCAACCAGCATCCATCCCTACACATACCCAGCAGAGTACCACCTCTGTTCCTGCCAATCCAAACCAACCCCCTCTGATTGCCCCGTCATCCTCCCACCAACCTGTCAGCTTCTCTAGTCCAGCTGCCCCACCTTCAACGCAGGAGTACTATGGTGGTCCTCCTGCGAGCACCCCTGCCATCCAGCCTGGGCCCCCGCCCATGTCGGTGCCCCGTGATCCCAATGCACCTCCCCCCACAGGGCCTTCTGCGGGGCGTACAGGGGGCTTTGGAGGGGTCAAGCTTGGACAAGGGTACCGACCAGTACTTCACCCTGCAGGCATCTCAGCATCAGCACCCTCTACAAGTGCACCCATTGTGGAAACATTCCCCTTGGGTGGACCCCCATCAGGAGCCCCACCTTCTGGGCCACCAAGTCGCCCAGTGGTGAGTTTACTTCACCAGGTGATTTCTTTCATGATAAGAAGTCCTTGAAATACCTTTTGACAGTTGAAAAAGCAGTTCTTGACAAGAGCCAGTTGGGACAAAAACACCTAAAAAATCTTCACATATTTTTAATTCCAATGTTATAACCTTGAGATTTCACACCTTCATTATAAAATGTTCACATCTTGTTCTTTTTGAAGTTTGATTCTTCAAGGCCGCCCCCCACTTCTGCTGACCTGCACCAGATGCAGGTAGCTGGACCCCAGACAGGTGGCTCTCCTGTCCCAGGTGGTACCCCTTACCAACCTGTGCAGCCCCATTGGTTCTACTGTAAGGAGTTTGAGAGAGGCGAGGTGTGGAACCCCTTCAGTATTCTGGACTCCATCAGACTAGACGAGGCACTTCATGCTTGTGAGTAACTTGCAGGGAACAAGAACAAACAAACATTTCTCATTTATTAAGCACAACAATTTTTGGCCAAAAGCAGACCAGAAAAGCTGTTTTTTTATATAGTTTTGTGATTGCTTTGCCTTCAGTTTGAAGTATTACAGGAATTGTCATCTTTCAAGTTGAGTTTCCACTCATGCCTCATGGAGGATTTGATTTCAATGATGGCCAGTGATGAAGGATCCTGCCTTAAATTCACATTGATGCCAACAATAAGATTGAAATAATGTTCATAACATTTTCAATATCCAGAAAAGTGAGGAGTTTAAAAAAGTATAATTACATACTGTAGTAAATAACGAACGATTTGAATTTGGAGGTCATGCTTTTGAATTTTTGAAAGTCTGTTGATTGATTTTTTGGATCTAGCATATAACAATCCTAATGGGGAAACTGTCATCTCAACCAATGGAGGGCGCTATGATGTGACTATTCAACAGCGACAACGACATGCAGTCTACTGGGATGAAAGGCCCTCTAGTGTCCGCAGATGCACGTGGTTCTACAAAAGTGATGGGGAAAACAGGTTCCTACCTTATGAGGAAGACTTGGCCGATCAACTAGAGGTCTGTGCATTTGACCAAGCAGCTATTCCACAATGTTTCCTCAGCTTCCCGGGCTGCGATTTCATTCCTTACTCTTTATTATTGCACTTTTTTTTACTACAGCAAGAGTACAAGTCGGCGATTCTCAACAACGTTTGGCACAAGAGGCTGGAGTTTTCCAACGGCGAGACCATCGTCATGCACAATCCCAACGTCATCGTCCATTTTCGACCGCCATCCAGACCAGATGACTTTGGAACATCCCCTGACGGGCAGATGAGACCGAGGGTTGTGAAGCGGGGAGTGGATGACTTAGAAAACATTGATCAAGGTAGGATTTGAAGCTAGTTGCTAACATTTGTCCTTGTTTGTTTTTGGTGTCACAAATTTGCCACAATGAACTACGTGGTTCAGACTTTTTTTCCATAGCATTTTTAATTGATTGAAGCTTAATATGTGAACGTGCATTATTTCTTGGAAGTTTCTGTATGCAGTAACTGTAATATATTTAAAGATCTTTATGCTTCAGTCATTTATAATAGGTCTATTATATCTGCCAGAGTAATCATTGAGTCAAATACCCATTTTTCTTCTCATTTTGAATTTTTATTTTCAGGAGAACCCAGTCAGATTGATCATTTGGTCTTCATAGTCCATGGTATTGGCCCTGTCTGTGATTTGCGGTTTCGAGGGATTGTTGAATGTGGTAAGAAAGCATTGTTTTCTCTTATTTTGTATTGCGAGCGACTCAAACCAGAACATGCCTTCCAAGTGCCTCTTCCTCTGTTATCTACAAAATCTTGGTCTATTTGATATCAGAGTTGGATCTGAAAATTTTTCCATAAGCTGCCAGCGACAGTAATGAAAACATTTAAACTATACATTGTCAGCAAAACTTGGGTCCTGGAACACTACAGAGAATTTCCCACATTGCTTGTACAAACATGAATACTCATACGCTTCATCTTGAGTATTTGTCATTGACTCCTAGTGGATGACTTCCGTTCTGTCTCTCTGGGCTTGATGCGTTCCCATTTCAAGCATGCTGTAGATGATGGCAGGACAGGACGGATTGAGTTCCTACCTGTCCACTGGTATGATGCTTTGCATGGAGATGCTACTGGTGTTGACAGGTGCGGTTAGATAATGTCTTAGAATGAAATTGACTGAGCAGATTTTCTAAATGAAATAATCAGCCGAGATACCACCTAGATACAATCACGCATCGCTTGAAAATGTTGGTTGATAACCTCCATTTTCTTCAAGTTTAATATATTTTTTAGTTTGTCACAGTTTTGAGCTTGGAAGCGGAACCTTATTCCAACGTGGGCTTATCCTCACTTGGGCTGGATACTTGCACTTGAAACACTAGGAAACTTGAGGCATTTGAACATGTCTGAAAAGGAATTAATAAGATATCACCCACTTTTCTGAAGTGTTCTAACGAAAGGCATTTCCTGGTCTTCTTTCAGACGTTTGAGACGTATCACCTTGCCCAGCATCTCACGTCTTCGCAGGTTCACCAACGACACTCTCCTGGATATCCTCTTTTACTCAAGTCCCTCTTACTCGCAGACCATTGCTCAGCACGTTTGCTCTGAGATCAATCGTCTCTACCAACTATTCCAAGAAAGAAACCCCGATTTCAAGGGACAAGTTTCCCTCGTCGGACACAGTCTAGGTGAGTTTCCCTTGGACTCACAAATTTCAAGGTTCCATTTCATAAAAGCTGGACAACTGAAACCTAAATAATTTTTTTGTTCATCCTCAATTCCCCCAGGTTCTCTGATTGTCTTTGACCTCCTGTCACATCAGGGAGATGCGTGTCCAAATTTACAAACGACCGACTCTCGCTTGGCAACACCTGTCACACCCGAGCAATCAGTGGCCCAGCCTAGCAACGAGCTCAGTGAAAATTTAGCCAACGAGGGGGTTGAGGAAGAGGTCATGACCTTGGACAGCACCCTCGCCCAGCTTGGACTGACAGACTTCTTGCCCAAATTTCAGGAGGAGAGGATAGACATGGAAAGCCTGGTACTAAAGATCTTGATCAGTTTACAGATATGTTACATACTTTCTCCCAAAGTGTGGCAAAAACAAATAGCAAAAATGTGAACAGAATGCTTGCCTGTATCCATGTCACAGGTGTACTGAGTGATTCGGTATGCTGAATCGTGTACCAGCTTATTTTATTTCAGCCCAACTTTGACAGGTGTTTGTTTGTTGTCGTTTTGTTCAGCTGATGTGCAGTGACTCAGACTTGAAGGAGATGGGCCTCCCTCTTGGACCAAGAAAGAAACTTGGAGGCTTCTTGAAGGAGCAAATAACTAAGGAGGTCAGGAGACAGCTGAAGTATCAATGTCTTGTTATGGCAAAGCTTGAAGTACACTAACCTTAACCATCATCCCCTGGAGGTCTTAGTAGGATTCAAGAAGGTAGAACTCAGCCAATGCTAATAAGTACACTAACCTTAACCATCAATCCTTTGGAGGTCCTAATAGGATTGAGGAAGGTAGAACCCGGTCAGTGCTAATTTCTGTGTGTGCTTGGTGATCATTCGAAATTCATAGTATGAAGAATGTTTCACTGGTTTCCTACCCAGTAGGGAATCATGGAGAATTGCAAGAATGTGGAGGGAGTTATTGTTACTTACTGACCTCATAGCATCAAAATCGTACCCTGAATGCAACTGTTCAGTTGAAAGGCTGAGATTGAACTGGTTAGATGGTTAGAGAGATAAGTAAAGAGATTTTCTGACCCTTTTCCTTTTACTTCAGGAGAGCAAGAAGAAAGCGAGAGAGGCAATGATCAAAGCTGAGACAGAGAGAGCTATCAGACAAGCACTGGAGATGGAAAAGCAGGAGGCTTCGGCTTCACAACTCAACGATGTATCCACACACTCTGTACACGTTGACTTTGAACCAGGATCCGAAGGTAGTGTATGCAGATACAATCTGCCGAAAAAAGTAGTCTGTCTAGATGTTTGAATACAAAACCAGCCTGTGTATGATGTTTGTCTGATAGATTCCATGATAACCTGTCTGTGCTAGCAGATGGCGGCCTGGTGGACTTAGTTTGGTCTTAATGTAGGATACTTCCCGTCACTTTGTCCTGCAGTGGTCATAAACAGTCCTGCAATAATGAAAATCAACATCCTACTGCAGGCATTTCTGTAGTTTTATTCGAGACATATCCCAAAGTTTTGCCCAAGCATGGATTCCAAACTCAGCAGGCAATAGAAACTTGTGCTCTGATTGCTGTCCCATTTCTGTGTTTTTCCGTCCAGGTGTCGGCCAACCATTTGTTCAATATTCCCAGCTCGACTTTAAGCCACAGCGTTTCTTTGCCGTTGGCTCCCCCATCGGCATGTTCCTGACTGTGCGAGGGGTCAGTAGGGTTGGAGAAGAATACAAGCTACCGACCTGTGATGGGTTCTTCAATATCTTTCACCCAGTGAGTCCCCATTAGATTTGCTTTCTTAATTGACGGACGTCTTTTTACCTCGTCAGTAAGTCTTCTGAACTACATCATCAACAAAGGTGGAGATTTTGGAACCAGTGTGTGTATTACTCAGTTGATATTAAGCCGCTTCAAGCAGTATCTGAAATCTGTGGCTAGGGCTTGGTCAAGTTCTTCACCAGCTACATATACACAGACACATGCTGACAGTAGACATAGCCGTAGCTCTGAAAACCCATTCTGGACACAGCTGCAGACGACTTGTCGTTATTGTTATTGCTCTGTCTTTGACAGTTTGACCCAGTTGCCTACAGGATGGAGCCTCTGGTCCATTCTGACATGGCTGATGTCAAGCCATTCTTGATGCCACATCACAAGGGTCGTAAACGCTTCCATCTTGGTAACGTTCTACCGTTCTTGTTTTTTTCACAAACACAAAGCAGATTTATGCCGTTTCACATTGAATTGTTGTAATGTTCTCATCTCATTTCAAAATTTTTCATCGTTTCCTTAAACTCTCTAGTTAATTTTGGACTCCAATTTATGGTGGATGATCCTTCCAGTAATCAAACTTGTACTGTACAGGTGTTAGCTCCTGGTAGGTTTGGTAAGGTAAAGGTCTCTTCGACTTGATGTCATTGTGAGCTTTCAGGAGGTTCTTTTACCAATACCTGGAAGTTGGCTGATCTCAGTATCATTTAAGAAAGTATGAACATTAAGATGTGTAGTACCATCCCGCTTCAATGAAACCTCTCCTTTGCAGAGTTGCGAGAGAGCCTGACAGCTTTTGGGTCCGACCTTAAGCGCAATCTGATCGAATCCATGAAGAAGACGTGGAAGTCCATCCATGAGTTTGCTTTGGCCCATCGGACCGGAACAGAGGCTGCGGTTCCGCCCGTCACATCAGAGGAAATGGAGGCAGTGGCTGAAAAGTTAAGCATGGAGGAGATGTCGAGGCAGGAACAGGAACGAGATGGCCTGTCTTCCAGGGAACCAGGTAGTACTGGTACAAGACAAAGCAACATTGAATTCTCATTGAAAACAATGTCCTCATTCAAAGAGGAAAATCAGTGACTGATGCGAAACACCCTTCTCCATCAAGACCTGAAATGTGACAGGTCCTTTTATAAACACTCAGTGGATTTAAAGCTTCAGGTGTCCAATGGAAACTCACTCAGTTTGGAATCTGACAAAATTGCATATGTAACATTTTCTGAAAAGGAGCTTATCTGAAATCAATGCAAGGATGTGCCCAGTTCAGCTCACTTGACAAGTTTTATCCAGCAATCAGTAAGAGCTATAAAAGGTGTTTAACCCTTTACCCTTTTATTCAATGATTTGGTGTCATAGGTCCATCCGCAGAGTGTGAGCTCAGGTTGGGTCAGCTGAACAATGGCCGCCGGATAGACTATGTTCTCCAAGAGGCGCCTTTGGAAAGCTTCAATGAATATCTCTTTGCCTTGGGAAGTCACACTTGCTACTGGTACGGAATCCTTGCCAGAAAGTCTAAAATTCAGGAAATGTCTTCAATTGTAATGAACATCTTTCAAGACCCTTCCAGACTTCCTAATAACAATTGACCAAAGATGGAACTTCAATTCAATTTTTGTGTGACTTCTTGTTGATGAAGTGTTGTAGTCGAGACCATCACGAGACCAGTCACAAGTAACAGGGTGAACAATGACAAAGGAATGCTTGTGTTGCTGTTCATTTGAGTAGTTTATGACTTGGATTCAGACTGGAGGTGTTGTGCTGGTCTTGTGTGATCTCGTGAAGGTCGTAAGTGGTCTCGCCTACAACACTTTGTTGATATAATTATACTTTACATATTTGCAAGAAATTTCAGGACGTAAAGTGAAGAAGATACAAGAAGTGAATAAAATGATGTGCTTCTTATACAAAGAAGCTAGAATTAAAACTGACAGACCAATAAATCTGATTGCTCTGCTTTGTAAATTGTGTTGGCTTGAACACTTTCCCATTTCCTTTTATGCCCAGGGATTCTGAAGACACTGTGCTACTGATCTTGAAGGAGGTTTATGCATCACTTGGTGTGTTTCCCCTTGTTCACGGTCCAAAACAAGACTCCACCCCTGCCACGCCCAAACAACACTAGTTGATTCCTGACCTACCATGGCCTTTGACCTGACCCGACCCATTTTAACATTCTGTGTTACCAAATCCTGTCTTAAATACAACACAGGTTTAAACTCAAAACACAGAATATTACAGACGAAACATGGTGCATAGATAGCTTCATTGTATTTGAGGGGTATGGTCACCGCCTCTGCAAGGGTGGATGTTACATAACATGTTACAATAAAGCACATGGCACCTTCACTTTTTATGAGTAATTTAAGAATATGTCATTTGAGCCAGTCTTACATGGGATGAATGTTTACATGTATCAAATTTATTTGGAAAGCTACATGGACCAGTTTTGAAAAATGGAAAATTGCTCAAATAAAGCTCGTTTGGTCGACATAGTCCCAGAGGATTTATTGAAATGTTCATCTGCTGTACCTATTAAAGAAAACGCTTTGTGGTTATTCTTTGCAGATCATTCCATTAATAAAGCAAAGCTTTTAACAAACCACAGCTGAGCAAAATATTTTGCATACTTCTTGAGTATGAAACGACTGTTAATTTGAAGGAACCTTTAAAACAAGAAACAGCAAAGCTGATGAGATCAATTTGTGCGTCGTAAATTGTTTAGGCAAGTGATTCGGTCGGTTTGATGTCGTATATCTTTTGGCTTGTAATTCAGGCAAGAGAGTAGTACTATACTTACATATTATTAACTAGATGTATGTTTGTATCTTTTCTGAAATGCAGTGGCTGCTGGGGGGATTGTTTTCATTCAAAGTAAAACATTACTTAATTTTTTTCTTAATAAACTGCTTTAAACTGAAAATAATGCAGGGAAATCCTCAAGAGAGAAGTAGGTCAATTCGTTTTACCCACAACTTCAGAGGTTTAATGCTTTCAAAGCCATAGCTAAGTGACTTTAAGCTTGCAAAAAGTAACTTGTCATCATTAAATTGAAACGTGAATGTCAGTTCTGATATAGATAATCGCCAAAAGAGGAAAATTGGTGATCTTGGCAAACGCATATACGACATCAATTATAAGTGAAAATTACAGTTCTGACAATTGTCTAAAATACGTTTAGTATAGTGATTAAAAATGACGTGGGAAAATGTGCTTGAGTAATATCCTTGTGCTAATGTCTGAGCATTTTCAAATGGCACATATAAAACGAAAGGATTTTAACACTAGAATTAATATTTGTGAGTGGCCTGTTTTCAGTGAAACTATATTTTTCCATTGATTACTTTTAATGGATTAATTTGTTTTTGCATGTGCATTATGACTCCCGCAAAATACATTTATCGAACTCATACTGTGAACTTGCTTTTTTTCTGTTGTATCATCATAAAAAGGAATAGTGTACTCTTGTTTTTTTCCCTTTTGTGTCGTGTGTATGTATAGTGTGCTATCATCGTTCTACAAAGTGGATAGGTTTGGGGGGGGCAGGGAACGCTTGTAGCCAACATTCCTCCATAGAAAGGTGTTTTCCCAGAAGCCCCGAATAAAACAGCATACATGTTTGTACTAATTTTCGTGTACTACAGGCGCGTAAATTGTAATCTGTTAGGGGGGGCTGGCGTCGAAGAAAGGGAAATTATTTCCATGTGTTTCTCAGGAAAAATGAGATTAGCGTTACCTGTAATTTTCATATTTTGGATGCCCCTCAAAAAGACTAATTTGTTCTTTTGGGAAGTAATGAATCGTTTATCCACTCCCAGAGAGTAACTTATATCTTGAATATCTATTTTTGTCCTCAATCCGTAAAATTAATTCTGCTTGGGCCCTCCAGATCCAACATGCGCAATCAACCAACAATTTTTCTTCGTAGTAATCGATCCCACTTTTCGCACAGCATTGTGGGTAATAAGCTGCGCGTCATCGGACGTCAACAAACATGCGGTGCCATTTTGCACGTGTGAAGAGCAGACGATACTGAATGCAATCCGTTCTAGTGGAGACTTCCCAGGAGAAAAACCTCTGAAGCTGAACACAGTTATGACAGTTGGACCTGAACACAAGCTTAACCGAAGAGACACGGTTGCAGGGTGAATACTGCAAACAAATGGCCAATTTCTATCTTTAAAGGAACACCATAAAACAGGAAGTTTTGACGACCGGTTGACTAAACTTTTGGGGCACGTGCGCAACGTTATACGTTCACTCCCATTGGTACGGTTAAATGAAAACAAGATTGACGGTTGATAAGGTAAGAACATCCGTTTTTATCACATTTAAGCTGGTTTATATTAGGAAAGACGGCGAGGTAACTGGTGTGCTTACTGTAAGGGCAAACCTTGGAACGGAAATGTAGCCACAAGCCTAATTAGGCCTACACCGATATTTATCTGAAACAAATTCGACACCCACAGATTGTAATATTTTACTGGTCGGTCTCGCCCACCCAAATTACTTTGTTCTGCCCCCTATCCTGCGACAACGTGTGTTTTCGAAGTTTGAAATAATTTTCAGGCAAGTCTGTTAATATTGTGCGATGCAATTGAAGCCAATACAGAAACTACAGGCTTGAGTCCGCCGCTCTGTGGCGGCAATCTAGCGTGTCCAGCGTGTGCAGTCGCCCGGTCGATCGCGCCAGGACACGGGCAGCTTCCGAGCAGACGCGTAGCCTACTGCTACGGGGTGGGCCGCGCAGGTACACGGTCACTTCGGCGTCGTGTGTCCTGCAGGATTTGGGTAGCTATGTGCCCTGACTCGTAGGCACGAAGAAGGTCGCTGGTCTACCTACTCCTACCAAGGTAGCTAGGATTAAACGTCAATCCACACTGACTTGGCCATATTTCGGATGAGCTTTCTAGTTAAATCCACCACTATTATTGCTTGTTTCTTTATAGATCCTCTGCCGTCTTTCATTTTCCATTCATGTTTATTTTGTTTTCTTTATAAATTTACTCCGAGTCCAGCCATATCTGGTACACGGTAGTCTAACCTCCATTGAGACACTTTATTCACGGCAGTGGTTGTGTTAAGAGAATAGGATGTCAGGTCAACCCAGAGACCTTTACTTAAAAACTACTAAAATATAAATGAACAGAATTCCTTCAAATTAATACATGCACCTAGATTCACACGAAGAATTAAGTGTAATTCAACAACTAGAACTAGAAGCCATTACTATGTTGGCACAACTCTCGTGGACAGGTGATACGCGCGCGTTACATGCCTCGTCGACCAATAGGATGCCATGATTTGCCAAATGGACACGCGCGTCAAGCTTAAGAATGTGCGTGCCTGGGTGCAGCTAGTACCATCGCAAATACATGTACGGCTTAAATAAGGAAAAATAAAACTGAGATGTTGAGCCGTTAAAAACCGATATTAAAATCCTTCGCTGCTTTAATTTGTTTTCTATTCTGCTGGGAGATAGCGTGTATGATTTAAGTTGACAGGGCACGGTTATTGCTCAGTATTATTACATAGGCCTACATGTAAGCCCAACCGTAAACTGAAATTGAGGTCAAGTCAAATCACCGTCGAATTTACCCAGTGCTTATTTATGGATCGAGGAGTGGGGAATAGACCTAAATGGTCGATAGCATTCTTTGGTGGAATGTATCAAAGCAATTGGCTGCAAGACAGACATATTATTGAGGTCACAGCTCAGTATTAAGGTCACCAATATTAAGGTCATCCATACACACATGTAACCGTATGTGTAGGCCTATTTTCCAGAATACAAATTTTGAGACAGCTGGCAGAATGCCCTGTTTCCGACCCCTCCCCCTCTGTTGTTGTTCTCTTTCATGGGGTTGCCTCATACAGGTCTTTTAAGGCTAACAACCAATGTCATGATTACCAGCAGCCGGATGCGCTTGGCACACAGCCAATCTGTCAGTTTGACATCCAAAGACAACAAACGAATGTAAACGGTCAACATTTATTGGGGGAGGCATAATTGCTGTCAAATTGTTATCAGATACCGAGCCCCAGTGTTGAATAACCGTTCCGCCATTTCTTCTTGGTATGTTGATTTTCCCTCGCTCACATTCAGAAGTTACGTAAGAACTTTTGAAAAAAGAAATCCTAATTTCAGACTGAATCCAGTCAGGGAAGACGTGGGGAAATCATAGATGTTTCTCGCGTGATATGATTCGCTAGAAGCAAAGAGGAAGAAAAATGCGATGCTAAAGTTGACTTCCTGGCAGGGTGCAATGTTGCTGCCTTTAATTATCTTCAGATCTTTTCAAATTAAGAATATAAAAACGCTGGAAAGAAATACATGGAAATTGGCAAGATATAAAAATGCTCCACTGGAACCTATGACTCTTTATATAGATACAGGAAGTGTAAAAAGGGAGTATGATAAAAATAACTTCACAATGAATAGTTAATGCATTCGGAATACAAATGTAAATCTAGTTATAAATCCGTTCTTTCAAAGTTCCCAGGGCAAAATGTTTTACAAGATGGATTTAAATTCCAGTCTGTGAAAGTTTGGACTTTCTTTCATTATACAACATGCACACAAAACACGTGACCAAACAAAACGAGATAATGAGTAAAACACAATACTTGTTTCCACACAGTACAAACCATCGAATGCTGTTACAGAGGTATTTTATAGCAAAGCAGTTATTTTGTACCTATGATAAACTATTATAAACATTATATATGAACAATTACTGTTTAATATTTTGACCTTACATTACTCTAAACCTCTTTGTTCAGATTTTACACCAACATATCACAATTTTGAAAACTGTACACAAACTAAATATGCTAAAATTTCAATAACTAATTACATTATTACACTGCAACAAGACGTAGCATTGTACCATAGACCTTACAACTTTGATCAACACACGATGTAGATCTGCGCCCAATCTGCATTTGAATATTTACTAAATTGAGTAGACCTAACGAAATGTATAGCTTAAATCGCGCGCATTTCATAAATACTTGGACCGAGAGGGGGAAAAATGGCCAAAACTGCATTGGCATAAAGTGTGGTTAACATCATGCTTTTATCTCCCCGTGGCTGGTCCGATATTTGGAATAAAAAAGACCATACTGCGTGGCGAAGATTGGTATTGTAGAGGAGGAGTATACGTAGGTGAAGAATGTTAGATGGTCTCTTGAGGCAGATAAACGAAGCTCTCATCGAATAAGTTTACAGAACAAAGCGAACAAGAGTCTGTTTCATCCGAGGATACGTCACAACTCGTGACACAGATATTGAAAACGTTTTTATTTCGTAATATTTTTGCACTCCCAAACAAAACTTTGCACTGTACAAATTAATGTGTACATTTAGCGACTGTACATTGTCATAAAACTAACAGAAATACAACACGTCATATTTTTGGGGAAACAACAATTAATGCTACTTTGATCATGTCTATACACAAAAATTAGAAACAAGCTACAGCGCCGGGCAAAAGAAACTTCTACAAATTTCATATATCTGGTCACTATTTACTTTTATTGGAAACCATGAACTAAGCACAAATGTCATCTTGTAAAGTACCGGTGTATCTACATTTTCAGTCTCATATACTTGGCTGCTTCAGTGGATTATCACCGAGCACACAATCTTATTAATGGCATTCAGCTTTGCAGGATTGTTGATAATTTCATAACCAATACATTAAATTGACTACCATAATTAAGGGTCATTATTGCAGGAGCAACATGCGTTGAATACCTCTTCCACCAGTAGGGTGCTTTGATTTGCACACACCCCATTACAAGGTTACTAACGTGCGCCAGTGTGTGGTGCCATAGCAGTATGGCGTCTTCGCGGATTAGCTCATGCACTGATCCAGGGTGTTATCCCACCAAAACAGCCCAAGTATTCCATGTATATGTACCACACAGTGGCACACTCTTTATGCTAGACATTGTACTGGTGCATCTTTCTCCTTGATACAAAAACAAACAAACAAACAAACAAACAACCCAACAAACAAACAAACAAACTCACTAAAAACAAAGCCAATAGCACCATCATGTCACCATCACTGGTTGTGGCTGTGTGCTAGAAACTGTCACTTTGATTGGTTGTTGGATCTTGGCACTCTTCGGTGGGGAAGCGCCGTTACTAGCTGGTGTTGACGTCATACTGGCGTCACTACACGTTCTTTTGTTGTTGCCAGGAAGAGGTTCACAGATGCGATAAAGAAGTGGCAAGGGTCCCATCTGTGAAATAATGATTCCTGAGATTAACCAGTGTGTTTTTATGCGCAGACCATATTGGGCAGTCAACAGAAAGAACAACTTATTGATTTGAAATGAAACCAAGGACATGTAACTCTCGGCTGTTCGAATCCAACATGATAAATCGTTTCATTTGGTTCTTATTTTGATATAAGTAATCTAAACAAGATGATGATCTCACCCGTTTCCATGCGTAGAT